TAAAACATGATTTATCCTAGAAGATAATTCATCCATGTAGGGATTGAACTTTTCTTTCAATGTCAAAATTTGATTGAAGGGAATTTTGCAGTAGCTTTTTATTATCTGTCAAGGTTTCAGGCTGATATTTAAGGCTTTGGGAAGACTGGGTTTTGATACTGAAAGCCCACGCCTGTAATCCCAGCACTTTGGGAGGCCAAGGTGGGTGTATCATGAGGTCATCCTGGCCAACTTGGTGAAAATCCATCTCTGCTAAAATACAAAAAATTAGCCGGGCATAGCGGTGCGGGCCTGTAATCCCAGCTACCCTGGAGGCTGAGGCAGGAGAATCACTTGAACCCAGGAAGCAGAGATTGCAGTGAGCCGAGATCCCGTCACTGCACTGCAGCCTGGCTACAGAGTGAGACTTGTCTCAAAAAAAAAAAAAAAAAGAAAAGAAAAAGAAAGCCCTAAAAGCATCTTCATTTTAGATGTAGTTGTACATGATCCTTTTATGGTTTGTTTTTTTTTCCACGTAACTTGTATGTGCGAAAGTTCTCTTAACTGGGGAACAAAGTTTATTTCAAATAATGTTTATTTTATATTAGTTTTAGCTGTATAGAAAAGCTGTGAAGGTAGTACAGAGAGTTCCCATAAACTGCACACCCAGCTTCCCCTGTTAGCATCTTACTCTAGTGTGGTACATTTGTAAAAAATTAATGAACCAATATTGATGCACTAGTATTAACTGAAGCCCATAGTATATTCAGATTTCCTTAGGTTTTTAATCAGGGTGAAATTACATAACATTAATCATTTTAAAATATACAATGCAGTGACATTTAGTACATTCACAATGTTGTACAAGTTCCAAAACATTTTTATCACCTCAAAAGAAAACTCAGTCTATTAAAGCCATGACTCCCTGTTCCCCACTACATGCAGACTTTGGAAACTAACAACCTACTTTCTGTCTCTATAGATTTACCTACTCTGGAGATTTCATTAAATGAAATTACATAATACGTTGCATTTTGTGTTTGGCTTTTTTTAGCATACTGTTTTTTAGGTTCATCCACTTTGTAGCACATATTGTTTTCATGGCTAAATAATTCCATTATTTATGTATACATATTTCATTGTATATGTATATATATATGATATTGATACAAAACTATCAAACTTTTCCACAGTGGCTGAGCCATTTTACATTCTCATCAGTAGTATATGCTAGTTCCAATTTCTCTACATTTTTAAGAAAAAACTATTTCCTACTCATTTTCCTTCCCCCCCCATTATAACCTAGTTGGTGCAAAGTAGTATTGTGGTTTAAATTAGCATCTCCCTAAATGATGAATGATTTTGAGCATCTTTTTTTTTTAGATGGAATTTCGCTCTTGTTACCCAGGCTGGAGTGCAATGGAGCGATCTCGGCTCACCGCAACCTCCGCCTCCTGGGTTCAAGCAAGTCTCCCTCCTCAGCCTCCTGAGTAGCTGGGATTACAGGCACACGCCACCATGCCCAGCTAATTTTTTGTATTTTTAGTAGAGACCGGGTTTCACCATGTTGACCAAGATGGTCTCGATCTCTTGACCTCGTAATCCACCCGCTTTGGCCTCCCAAAGTGCTGGGATTACAGGCTTGAGCCACCTCGCCCGGCCGAGCATCTTTTTTTGAGACAGAGTCTTGCTTAGTTGCCCAGGCTGGAGTGCAACAGTGTGATCTCGACTCATTGTAACTTCTGCCTCCTGGGTTCAAGTGATTCTCCTGCCTCAGCCTCCCTAGTAGCTGGGATTACAGGCAACCGTCATCGTGCCCAGATAATTTTTGTATTTTTAGTAGAGATGGGGTTTCACCATGTTGGCCAGGCTGGTCTTGAACTCCTGACCTCAGGTGATTCACCTGCCTCAGCCTCCCAAAGTGCTGGGATTACAGGCATGAGCCACCATACTCGGTCGATTTTGAGCATCTTTTTGTGTATTTGCTGGCTATATAACTGCATTGGAGAAATGTCTTTTCAAGTCATTTGCCTATTTTCTAATTGGAATTTTTTGTGATTTTTGTTGTTGAGTTGCAAGAGGTCTTTTTGTATCCTTTATACTAGAACCTTATCAGATGTATGGTTTGCAAATATCATCTCCCATTCTGTAGGTTGCCCTTTCATTTTCTTCATAAAATCCTTTGATGTTCAAAAGTTTTACATTTTGATTCAGTCCGACTTATTTATTTTATTGCTTATTTCTTGGTGCCATATCTAAGACTCCATTATAAACAAAGTCATGAAGATTCATCCCTATGTTTTAAGAATGTTACAGGTTTTGTTTGTTTGTTCATTTTTTGTTGTTGTTAGAACAACTCAGCAAAATAAAATTCCTGTTTATTGTTGGACAACATTGTTTCACACATACATCAAACAGGCCAAAAGAAAATCAACAGCAATTTCATAGACAAAAAAGGAAAAAAAGGAAATCTTTTAATCTTTGGCTTTTTAACCATCTCATACAAACCAACTACTTATAGTACAGCTAAGTACATACACAACAAAGGTACTAGAATGTTCTGAATACGATTGTTCCTCTGTTGTCATTTTCGCCTTTTTTTTTTTTTTTTACAAGATTTTCTTTCTCCTTTGAGATTATAATGAACATGGTCACATCACAAGTAAAGTCAGAAGTAGGACAGAAAACACTCTGAAGGCTGGTTTGGTCATCGGAGATCATTAAAAATGGCTGACCCTAACAATATGTACAAAAATATAAAATGTAAATAAAAAATACAAACAAATTTCCTTTTTAAAGTACTTTTAAGAAAAAAGCAGGGCCTTGAAAGTTTTGGCTCTGTTTTCCTCCCCTGTTGCAAATTCTCATGGTTTGGTTTGGGTGGTGGAGTGAAGGTGGCACTGCCCGCAGTGAGCGGGCGGGCCGGCCTCTCTACTCAAAGGTGACCACGTTTAGATTCTGAGACGGGAAGTGGAGGGTGAATAGGTCACGGCGGGCTTTTTTTTTTTTTTTTTTTAGTTTAACTTTTCCTTTTTTGCTGTCTAATCATCCTCGTTGGTCTTCTGCTTCTTGGTATCGACATCGTCATCCTCAGCATCTTCAGCTGCCCGCTTGCCCACAGCAGACTCACCTTCCTCATCTTCATCTCCTCATCATCACCTTCTTCTTCCTCCTCTTCTTCCTCCCCACCTTCCTCTTCATCTGCCTCATTGTCAGCCTCCTGCTCCCCGTTTTCCTCATTCGCATTCCCGTTAGCAGGCGCCTCTCTTCCATTTTCCGCCTCTTCCACAACTTCCTTCTTCAAGTCCTTGGTGGTGATTTCGGAGCTGGTGTCTACTGCTGCGTCTGACAGGATGGAGCACGCCGGTGATCCGATGCGGGGGACTAAAAAGAAAGCGAGATTTGAAGGACTCTGGCGATAAAGCTGCGGGAGTCTGCGACGGCGAAGGAGGCGCGCGGTGGAGGCGGCGGAGGCGAGCCGGACGAGGGACAATGCAAAGATGGCGTTTCAGAGCAGCCATTGGGCTGTTCTTTTTTTTTTTTGAGACAGAGTCTAACTCTGTTGCCCAGGCTCAAATGCAGTGGTGTGATCTTGGCTCATTGCAACCTCTGCCTCCTGAGTAGCCGGGACTCCAGGCATGCACCACCCTGCTCGGCTCATTCTTAGCATTTTTGGTGGAGATGAGGTTTCACCATGTTGCCCAGGCTGATCTCACACTTTTGGGCTCAAATGATCCACCTGCCTCGGCTTCCCAAAGTGCTGGTATTACAGGCATGGGCCACTGTGTCCAGACAAGATTTATATAGTTTTAGTTTTTATATTTAGTTCTGTGGTATATTTTCAGTGAGTTTTTGTATATAGTGTAAGGTAGGGGTCTAACTTTATCCATTTGTGTATAGAAATCCACTTATCCCAGAACCATTTGTTAAAGAGACGATTCTTTCTCTATTGAAAGTTCTTGGGTCCCTTGTTGAAAATCAATTGGCCTTTCATGTATAGGAAGGTTGGTTTCTGTACTCCCAATTTTGTTTCATTGGTCCATATGTCTTTCCTTGTACCCTTACCACACTGTCTTGATTACCAGTGCTTAGTAGTAAGTTTTGAAATTGGGGAGTCCTCCTGTTTTGTTCTTTTTCAAGACTGTTTTGGCTATTTGGAACCTCTTATAATTCCATATGAACTTGAGGATCGCCTTTTCCATTTCCGCCAAAAAATAAACCAAACTGGAATTTTAATAGAGATTGCATTGTGCCTGTAAGATTGCTTTGGATAACATTGCAGCCTTCAATATTAAGTCATCTAATTCCTGAACTGTGTCCTATAAACTTTGGTATGTTGTGTTTTGGCATTATTTGTATCAAAGTATTTTATTTTTTCCCTTGTGATTTCTTCTTTGACCCGTTGGCTATTTAAGAGTTTGTTGTGCTGGGCGTAATGCCTTACACCTGTCATCTCACTACTTTCGGAGGTCGCGGCAGGTGGAACACGAGGTCAGGAGTTCAAGAGCAGCCGATGAAACCTCATCTCTACTAAAAATACAAAAATTAGCTGGGCGTGGTGGTGTGCACCTATAGTCCCAACTACTCGGGAGGCTGAGGCAGGAGAATTGCTTGAACCTGGGAAGTGGAGGTTGCAGTGATCTGAGATCATGCCACTGCACTCCAGCCTGGGTAACAAGAGGGAAACTCTGTCTCAAAAAAAAAAAAAAAAAAAAATCAACAGCAGCCGGGCACGGTGGCTCTAATCCCAGCACTTTGGGAGGCCGAGGCGGGTGGATCACGAGGTCAAGAGATCGAGACCATCCTGGTCAACATGGTGAAACCCCGTCTCTACTAAAAATACAAAAAATTAGCTGGGCATGGTGGCACGTGCCTGTAATCCCAGCTACTCAGAAGGCTGAGGCAGGAGAATTGCCCGGACCCAGGAGGCGGAGGTTGCGGTGAGCCGAGATCGCGCCATTGCACTCCAGCCTGGGTAACAAGAGCGAAACTCCGTCTCAAAAAAAAAAAAAAAAAAAAAATCAACAGCAACTTCATAGACAAAAAAGAAAACCTTTTAATCTTTGGCCTTTTAACCATCTCATACAAACCAACTACTTATAGTACAGCTAAGTACATACACAACAAAGGTACTGGAATGCTCGGAATACAATTGTTTTTCTGTTGTCGTTTTCGCTTTTCTTTACAAGGTTTTTTTTCTCCTTTTAGATTATAATGAACATGGTCACACCACAAATAAAGTCAAAAGTAGGACAGAGAACGTTCCGAAGGCTGGTTTGGTCATCGGAGATCATTAAAAATGGCTGACCCTAACAATATGTACAAAAATATAAAATGTAAATAAAAAATACAAACAAATTTCCTTTTTAAAGTACTTTTAAGAAAAAAAGCAGGGCCTTGGAAGTTTTGGTTCTTTTTTCCTCCCCTGTTGCAATTTCTCATGGTTTGGGTTGGGTAGTGGAGAGCGCGTCGTGTCATCTGCGGGTGGCACTGTCCGGGGTGGGCGGGCGGGCCGGCCTCTCTGCTCGAAGGTGACCAGGTTTAGATTCTGAGACTGGAAGTGGAGGGTGAATAGGTCACGGCAGCCTTTTTTTTAGTGTGTGTGTTTTTAGTTTAACTTTTCCTTTTTTGCTGTCTAATCATCCTCGTTGGTCTTCTGCTTCTTGGTATCGACATCATCATCCTCATCATCTTCAGCGGCCCGCTTGCCCTTAGCAGACTCAGCTTCCTCATCTTCATCTCCATCCTCCTCCTATCACCTTCTTCCTCCTCCTCTTCCTCCCCACCTTCTTCCTCTTCTTCATCTACCTCATTGTCAGCCTCCTTCTCCCCATTTTCCTCATTCGCATTCCCGTTAGCCTCTCTTCCATTTTCTGCCTCTTCCACAACTTCCTTCTCCTCCTTCAAGTCCTTGGTGGTGATTTCGGAGCTGGTGTCTACAGCTTCGTCTGACATGGTGGGGCACGCCGGTGATCTGAAGTGGGGGACTAAAAAGAAAGCGAGTTTTGAATGACTCTGGCGATAAAGCTGCCGGAGTCTGCAAAGGCGAAGGAGGCGCGCGGCGGAGGCGGCTGCAGCGATCAAGGAGTCAGACGAGGAACAATGCAAAGATGGCTTTTCAGAGCAGCCAGTGGGGAGAGACTTGTTTTGTAGTCTAACATATGGTCTGTTTTGGAGAATATCTTTGTGGATCTTCTACCTAGTTGTCTTATTCATTATTGAAAGTAGGGTATTAACTGGGCACAGAGGCTCATGCCTGTAATCCCAGCACTTTGGGAGGCCAAGGTGGGTAGGTCACTTGAAGCCAGGAGTTCCAGACCAGCCTGGCCAACATGGTGAAACCACGTCTCTGCTAAAAAATACAAAAATTAGCTGGGCGTGGTGGCATGTGCCTGTAGTCCCAGCTACTTGGGAGGCTGAGGCAGGAGAATTGCTTGAACTCAGGAGGCAGAGGTGCCAGTGAGCTGAGATTATGCCACTGCACTCCAGCCCGGGTGACAGAGCAAGATTCTGTTTCAGAAAAAAAGAGGCTGGGTGTGGTGGCTCATGCCTATAATCCCAGCACTTTGGGAGGCTGAGACAAGCAGATCACCTGAGGTCAGGAGTTCAAGACGAGCCTGGCCAACATGGTGAAATCTATCTCTACTAAAAATACAAAAAAAAGAAAAAAAAAAATCCAGGCATGGTGACAGGTGCCTGTAATCCCAGCTATGGGATCCTGAGGCAGGAGGATCGCCTGAACCCAGGAGGTGGAGGTTGCAGTGAGCCAAGACTGATTGCATCACTGCACTCTAGCCTGAGTGACAAGAGTGAGACCCTGTCTCAAAAAAGAGAAAAGAAAAAGAAAAATCAAAGAACTAGGGGGCTCTGGCTGTTTTTGAACTATTTCGCCCTTTTGCAGGGGGCTCTGTTCTTAGGTGTATATGTATTTATAAATGTTATATATTTTCATCTTTTCACTTTTTTCTTTTCTTTTCTTTTTTTTTTTTTTTTTAAGGAGACAGTGTCTTGCTCTATTGCCCAGCCTGGAGTGCAGTGGTGTGATCATAGGTCACTATAGCCTTGAACTTCTGGGCTCAAGTGATCCTCCCACCTCAGCTTCCTGAGTAGCCGGGCCTATAGGCACACACCACTGATCTGGCTAAGTTTTAAATTTTTTACAGAGATGAAGTCTCACTTTTGCTTAGGTTGGCCTCTAATTCCTTGCTTCAAACAGTCCTCCTGCCTTAGCCTCCCAAAGTGTTGGGATTACAGGTATGAACCACTGCTCCCAACCCTGTCCTTTCACTTCTAACCTATTTGCATTTTTGAATTAAAGTGCTTGTAGATAGCATACAATTGGATCATGTTTTTTTTTTTTTTTTTTTTAAGGGAGGAAGGGAGGAAAGGAAGGAGGAAGGGAGGGAGGAAGGAGAGAGGGAGGGAGAGAAGAAAAGGAAGGAAATCAGGCAATGAGAGAGACATTGCCGACCTGGATCTAGAGGTCTACAAGTTGATTTCTTTTTTTCTTTTTTTGAGAGAAGGAAAGAAAAAAAAGAGTGAAGGAGACGAAGAAAGAGGAAGAAGAAGAGGGAGAGAGAATGGATATGTTGCTTTGTTCTAAAAAAAATGGGTATTAATAATGGCCAATCAATATTTCATTTAAACCTATGAGTAGGCGTGATGTGGTATTGACAAGAATGTATATTTTGTGTATTTAAAGTGAAGAGCTCTATAAATATTTATTAAGTTTACTTGTTTCGGATCTGAGTTCGAGTCCGTGATATTCTTATTAGTTTTCTGTCTCATTGAGTCTAAGTATGTATCTGGATGTTAGGATCGTTAGCTCTTGTTGTTGCATTGATCCTTTTACCACTATATCTTTGTTGCTTTAAAATCTATTTTATCAGATACGAGAATTGCAACTCCTGCTTTTTATTTATTTGTTTATTTTTGCTCTCCATTTGGTTGGTAAATCTTTTTCCATCCCTTTGTTTTGAGTCTTTGTGTATCCTTGCATGTGAAGTAGGTCTGGATGTAGCATACCGTTGGGTTTTGGCTGTATCTTTTGATTGGGGGATTTAGTCGATTTAAATTTAGGGTTACTGCCATTTGATATTAACTGGCTGTTTTATCCATTCGTTGATGTAAATTCTTCTTTATGTTGATGCTCTTTGCTTTTTGGTGTATTTTTAGAAAGGCTAATACTGGTTGTTTCTTTCTATGTGTAATGCTTCTTTCAGAAGCTCTTGTAAAGCAGGCCTGGTGGTAATAAAATCTCTGAGTTCTTGCTTGTTCATAAAAGATTTTATTTTTCCTTCAGTTGTGAAGCTTAGTTTGGCTGGATATGAAATTCTAGGCTGAAAGTTCTGTTCTTTAAGGATGTTGAATATTGGCCCCCACTCTCTTCTGGCTTGTAGAGTTTCTGCTGAGAGATCTGCTGTAAGTCTGATAGGCTTCCCTTTGTGGGTAACCTGACCTTTCTCTCTGGCTGCCCTTAGTATTTTCTCCTTCGTTTCAACCCTGGTGAATCTAACGATTATGTGCCTTGGGGTTGCTCTTCTTGAGGAATATCTTTGTGGTGTTCTCTGTATTACCTGGGGTTGAATATTTCCTGCTTTGGTAGTTTAGGAAAATTTTCCTGAATAATATCCTGAAGAATATTTTCCAGCTTGGATTCATTCTCTCCGTCGCATTCAGGTACACCTATCAAACGTAAATTTGGTCTTCACATAGTCCCACATTTCTTGGAGACTTAGCTCATTCCTTTTTATCCTTTTTTCTCTAATCTTGTCTTCTCATTTTATTTCATTAAGTTGGACTTCGACCTCTGATATCCTTTCTTCTGCTTGAACAATTGGAGTGTTTAAACCTGTGCATACTTCTTGGAGTTCCTGTATTGTATTCTTCAGTTCCATTAATTCACTTATATTCCTCTCTAAGTTGTCTATTCTCATTAGGATTTTGTCAAACCTTTTTTCAAAGTTCTCAGTTTCTTTACATTGGGCTACAACATGTTCTTTTAACTCACAGAAGTTTCTTATTATCCATCTTCTGAAGCCTGATTCTGTTAATGGGATGCACTCGTTCTCCATCAAGCCTTGTTCCCTTGTTAATGAGGAACTGTGATCCTCTGTAGAGGGAGAGGCATTCTGATTTTGAGTATTCTCAGCCTTTTTACGCTGGTTTCTTCCCATCATTGTAAATTTATCCACCTGTCATCTTTGTAATTAATCAACTTTCAAATTAGGTCTCTGAGTGGACGTCCAAGTTGTTAACTCCCAGGGCCGAAATATGAGCAACCCACTGCGCAGGCCAAAACAGCAGTGTTAAGACTGATGGTGCTCTTCTGCCCTGGAATCTCCAGTCTGGCTTCCTTGTTGAGTCCATAATAGGCGACTCTGCCTTCCCAGAGCTCCAGACCTCCGTCAGAAGGGGAACCAATCCCGTTTACTCTACACCAAGAGCTGCTGCGCGAGGTACCGGCAAAACCGCTGTGTCAGCCACAAGAGTCACGCTGGCGACCTGTGTGGCTCCTACCCTGGGTATCTTCTGCTCCGTGAGCGGCCAAAATTTGTCTGAAAGTGTGGTGTCCTCTCGTTCTCTGCGCTTTCACTGGGAGCTGCAATACTGAGATGTTAGCAATCAGCCATCTTGGATCATTCTCCGAGATGGGGTCTCACTTGCTCAGGCCACGGTGCAGTGGCATCATGACTAAGGCTACACTGTGGCATCACGGTAGCCTTGAACTACTTTGCTTAAGTGATCCTCTCATGTAAGTCAGTGGGATTACAGGCACGAGCCACCACTAGTGTTCTGTGAGACTTTTTTGAATACCTAGAGCCTCCTTCCCCCACCTCCCAAAAAACAGTGGAAATAAGGGAAGACAACAACCTTCTCCCAGTCTTTGCAGAATGGCTATGTTGGGGGACACTGTCGTTGCTTAGCTTTGCTGTTTACAGCTCTGCCCTAGCCTTCATTTCTTGCTTGTGCTGAACCTAAAGTTCAGCTAGAGGGTCTTTTCAGATCTTTTCTGAGCATGCTTCCTGCCCTGGGCATATATGCATGACTTTCTAAATTCCTGACTTTACTATAAGTGGAGATTGTTGAATGCCCTAATTTCCAAAAGAAACTTTCTCCCAGCTTTTCCTCTCAGGCTGTTGGTGTGTCTGTTTCCCTCAACTGAAATCTTTTGCCCCAGATGGCTGCAGATTTTTATTTGTAGTACAAGGTTTTTGAGCAATCCCCTCTAAATAGACCCCTCTTTGCCCTTTTCCAAGTTAGGGAAAACAAAGACAAACATATATGTCAGTACTTCAGGTAACCTTAAGACTCAAAACAGGCAAATGCAATTATTTCAAATAAGTTATGTTCTCCCTCTGGAAGCAGGGACTAGGGAGTAGGTTCCCAGAATGAGAATGCAGACTGCTGTCTTCAAGACTGCCACTGGGGAAGGGAAAGAGACAGGGCAAGTCAACATGCGGCCAACCTTTTCTATTGTTTTTTGTTGCTTTTTTATTGATTCGGTTTGCTGAGTTGCTCTGAATGTATTTTCTGGAGTTGTGACAGAGCTGATTGTGACAGTTTTTGCTTGATTTTTCAGTCATCTGTGGAGGGATGGGCTGTTAAGAGTTAATCTACTTCACCATTTTCACTGATGTCCCTTAAGAAAGACTTTTCCTTTGTTTTAGAGACAAAACAAAAACGTTTTGTGCAATGTTTCCTCAAACTCCTGGCCTCAAGTGATACTTCTACCTCAGCCTCCTAAATAACTGGGACTACAAGTGTGTGCTGCTCCCAAGAAAGATCTTTTAAAAGTTATATTATGATATGTTGCTTTAATGAGTAGAGTTCAAGAAGTTATATTAATGTTTGCAAAAATTGTCAACAGGATGGAATCCGACGTGGTAGACCCAGAGCAGATACTGTCCGCGATTTAATAAATGAAGGAGAGCATTCATCCAGCAGAATTCGTTGTAACATCTGTAATAGGGTATTTCCACGGGAGAAATCGCTCCAAGCTCACAAAAGGACTCATACAGGTAAGTTGAGCAAATTTTACAGAGACTGG